TAAAATGCCTTTGAAATGGCCTCTCATCCCAATTATAAGATATGGACTCAAACTGTTAAGAGGTGAAGTTAAAAACGCAGTCAACTTATCTGAGATAGCACCCATATGTCTGTCCTGAAAGGAGCTCAGGAAGATGGGTTTGATTGATGCTTTGAAATAGAAAATGCTAATTTAGACTCTGCCCAGGCCTCTATTCTTTGTTCCTGTTACAGTGACCAGCAAGAGAAAGATGAACAAAACGCTGTCAATGGAAAGAGGAAATCTCACCCAGGAAAACAATCTGTGCATGCGTCACTCAAACGGAAGAGGCCAAAGAAATCACAGAAGAAGAAGCAGAAAAAGAGATCACACAAAAAGCGAAAGAAGAGGAAAAAGGAGAAGGTGAAGGCATCATCAGATTCTTCCCCGGAAAGCGAGTGCTCAGAAGAGGGGACTTCGGGCACCAGGAAAGGGAAACACAAGCACAAGAAGAAGACCAGGAAAAGGCTCGCAAAGGAACCTGCCTCTTCCTCTGGGCAGGAAAGTGACTCTTCCAGTGTGAGCAGCTCTGAGGACAGCGAACTTGAGGAGAAAAGGGAAAAGTGGTCTAAGAAAAAAAGGAGGAAATGCCCTGTGTCTGCCTCAGAGAGGCACAGTGAGATTCCGGAGAAGCAAAGCAAGAGGACGAACTGGAAAGTGGCAGCTGATGAGAAGTCGGAGGACAGCTCCGATGAGGACTAATAAGAGGCAGTGAGTCTGGGGCCATGGGTGAAATTGCACGTCAGCGAATGGAGGCCGATGTTTTCTCCCAACACTGCCCCGTGGTACAAATATGGTGCCTAACTGATTTCTGGAGCACAGCAACTTTATACCCTGCCAGGCCACAGGTATGGGCTCTGCACCTTGCTGGCTCGCAGAGGGCACCTCTTTGTTTTTTTGCTGGTTTAAAACCAGGAGAGCTGAAAGACCTGTGGAGAAGATGTCTGTCCCCCAGGTCACATCTCCTGCCCACCCACCCCAGACTCCTGACTCTATAATTGTTCTCATTTCATGGCCATATTCAGTTTTAAATGACCGTTCCTGTGAGCTGTCTTCAGAAGGGAAACGGGTGCATTGGCACTGTCTCTAGGTTTTTTTAAATTGTTCCTCTTTTCATGCGTAACCACGTAATGGCCAAGACACAATTGCAATAAAGAGCAGAGGCCACAGCCTAACAGCACTTCTGCCAGCCTGATTACAAAGGATGTGCCATTGGATTTAACAGCAGGGGTCCTTCACTGCAGCATTATCCCCAGGATGAAAATAAACGGATGTGGCCCCACATGGACAGTCAAAATAAGGAGGAGGTGCTGGTCTGGAACAAGGAAGGGCGGGTGGGGTGTCACAATTCTAGCTGCGGGTGTGGTGACCCCACTGCAGTGGTTTGTTTCAAATTTACCTCAGATCCCCTACCTCTGCCCTTTGTGTGACTGACTTTCCCTCCTTCCTATCAGTAACACGTCCCTCTGGATCCACTTGTGCTGATGGACGGGCCTCTGATAGGTTTCCTGTTCTGTCTCTGGCTGGCCCAATGTGTTTGACACAAAGATTGGGATGCAGGGGGGGAAAGGAACCCTTTCTCCCTGCAATAAACATGAAGACTCCATTTGTACTTTCCTTTTGAAATCTGATCTCTTTACCACCACTTTAGAGCAAGACCTAGGGACAGAGCATGGATGTGTTCAGGGATTCTAAAGGTCTGGTGAGGGCTGCTCCTCTCTTTGTACAAAATCAGTTCACCACTGATCAGGTTCCATAGACCTGTGAATATGTTTTGTGGAGCCAGTCTGTATATAGGAGATTGCGTCCCTGCTCAATACCCTCCAGTAGAAGATGGCAAAGGGGACTCTTAGCATGTACAGTCTCATATCCCACATTCCCCTGAATTTCCATATGCGACAGTAGGTGGTGTCTACACTCCCAGAATTTGGAGGTCTTGAATCTCTCTAGATCAGAATTGAGGTATCTGGGCTCCCAGATATATAAACTATGGTCTCAAACGTTTCACAAAGCCTTTTCTCTCTGTGTGTGCTTGCATATATGTAAGCCATGGAGATGCAATGGGATTACAAATCTGTGCCCAAATCAAGAGGAAACATCATTCTTACGAGAGTTCAGATCTGTACCTGTCTTGGGATCCTCCTTTGACTTAGCTTTGCTTGAGTGAAGTTCCAGTTGAAGGCTTTTACCACTGAGACTGGACAGTGCTAAATGAGTAAGGGTGAGATGGCCTTCTCTGGTCTGAGCAGTGTAGATTACTCCTCCGACATATTGAGGCTGGGTCATGCTTTTGTATTAAACACTCGTACTGATCCTCATTCTGCTAATCCATGAACTAATACTGTTCCCAGTTGTGCTTCTGCAGCGCCATGAAGGCAGGTTATACACATAGGTAAGGGTTTTATAGATTTCTTCCTCAGAACTTCTTGTTGAGACAGCACTCGCAGCTCCTGGGGCTGCAGACGAAGTGCCTCGCTCATACCTACCTACCTCTTTGGTCTTTGTGAGTGGAATTAAGGTTTGTACAGCCCTTGGCAGATGTAAATTGCCTGAGACTCCAATTCTTAACTCCCCACTCTTATATCACTGTAGCTCTGTTGACTTCTGTGGAGTTATTCCTGATTTACCCTGCTAGGAGAGCAGAATCAGGCCCCTAGGAATTAAGAATCAGGTGGTGGGCCCCAAAGGGATGGGGGAATAGTGCCTGGGATTTGGGCCTCAGCATAGACTGGGGGAATACCAGAGGTAAGGGGGATCCCAATGTGAGTTCAAAACTAGATAGCAGAAGCACAACGTCGGGGTGGTTTATCTTCTAGTGGGAATGTCTTATATGTCAGCCTGGCAAACAAATCTTCCCTGCCTTACTGTCTATAATCTGCTCAATCAGAGAACTAGTAGATACTTGGGAGGAAAAGGAGGGAATCTGGATAAATACACAATAGCCCAGATCCTTGGTCTTTGTTTAAATTTGTTGTCTCCCTTTCTCCACCTGTAGCAGGTGAAGCTTTTTTAGCTCTCCCTGTGCATATGGGCTGACACTGATAAAATGGAGAGACATCATTGTAGTGTCTGTCATTCTGTGTCCCCCTTCCCCACCACTGGCACAGTGCTTGGTCTACACCTTGTCATCCACTCCCTCTTCTAGAAGGCCAGTGTTTGTGACTTCCTTTCCAGGGCACGGATATGTGGGCAGCTCCTTCTCCGATGGAGTTAAGCAATGTCCTAGTTCTCTAAGGTCCTGTCTCCTGGTGCAGGGATTTCTATGAGCAGGAAGGGGAGCTGTCAATGATTCTTTTCTAGTTCAGTGTGAGAGCCACTTTTCTATTTCAATCTGCAGAAATATTCATGCAATAACAATGCAGCAGCTTTTCACACATCACAAGAATGTTCAAGGAAATTATTTTTATAAAGAAATCCTCTACAGAAAGATTTTAAATTAGGAAATGTATAACTGCAGAAGTTAATAGATTCATATATTGCACTGGACCCAGTGTGGACTTTGTGGGTGGATTTTAGGGCAGGACTGAACGTTGGGGCTCAAACAGTGATCCTACTATCCTAGATGGTCCAGCTCCCAATGCAACCCGTGAATAGAGTGCTTGGTATATCAGTACTTTTTGCTTTGATGGACTAGTGTCTCCAGGCATTTGAACTTTGGTTGCCTCATGCTTCTTCATCCTAAGAACATATGCCAATTGGGCACCTGCCAGTTAAAGGCATTTTACTCAGGATAATGGGCTGGCCAGAATGGGCTTCAGGATCTTTTACCCAGCCCTGGCCACTATTTATTTACCCAGGATGATCCTAACTTTGCCTTTCTTTCCCCTTAATGCAGCAGTGTCTACAGCATTAAACATCATTGTTAAACAGACCAGCAATTCACTTATGAAGTTGCCCTTTTTTTCTACCTACCCCAAATCTGTTAAAGAGCTTGTGTGTCTGTGATTCTGGTACCCTCCAGCTCTGTTTGGATAATCTCCTACCCGAGGCCCACTCCCAGCTTTACTGCTCTGTGTGGTGTTGTACTACCACCATTGAACATATTTTTGAAGAGAATTCTAAGAGGTAGCCAGAGAAGGCCGGGTGGATTATATCCTTTCTAAAGTACAGGATTTTTAATGTGTGTGTGTGTGACACAGTGGTGGATGTTAACCTTATTAGATAACATAAGTCCTGATGGGCTCAGAGAATAAACCAGACTTTTCAAATGTGTGGTCAATTTTATTTACAACCACCGCTCATCAGGTTAGGCTAAATTTGTGTAAAATGTCTAGATGCAGACCATTAAATAAGACTGTATCTATTCTTGTACCTTTAAACATGAGTAAAGGGAAATCTATTTTAGTCTCTCAAGCCCGCATTAGACTTCTGCATTGGACTACAACATACTCAGATAACTGGGGTCTTCTGTCATTTGCATTAGTGTATCACTAAATTAAGCTCAGCTGATATAAGTGAGGGTTAACCCCATGAAAAGGTTTCTATAAGAGGGTCTTCCACCTGTTTGACTAGATTTAGTTAAACCAGTACAATTTTTCTCATACAGACAAAAGTTTAGATACTGTATCAATTTACATTGACATTTTCAAGATTTTCTTTATAACCAGAGGGGCTAAAACCAATTTAAAAGAAAGAAAAAGAAAGCTTGGTGTGTGCAGCAAATTTCACAGCCACAGAACTGTGCAATAGGCTAGGCCCTAGCAATAAGCTTTTAACTAGTTTCACTTTTTGGTTTTCATGCATTAGCCTACTGTGCAGCTTCTAGGTTTAGGCTGCAAACACTCCAGCAGAACAAGTGTTTTCATTAATTTATTAGTTCATTGAAAACATTTATATTCATATTAGCATCAAAATTAAATTTTAAAAATGTAAGATACTATGCCCATCCCTTGTGTCAGTAGCAAGCACATCTCTTCTCTACTTTCCTCTAATTAGATAAAAGACGTAGAAAAGTAGTGATACACACTTTCACATCACAAGACTTGTCTGGACAAGTGTTCCTGATGCTTTATTAAATTGCAGTACGATGACACATTTATGAACCGTTCAATGCAGCTAAAGAATTCACAGGGACAATTGTGCTTTCCGCAAATGATTGTTCAACCACTTCTGCATTTCGTGAAAGTGTCACATAAAGTGTAGCTTAGAACACATGATGATGCTCCACCGACAGCTGATAAGTCTGTTGAGCTCAACAGGAAAGAGTGGGTTGTCCGGAGCTGGGAAATGCAGTAGTCAGTGTCCCCCTTTCTGTACAACCTGAGCAAAGCGGTTAGTGATGGATAATGTGGTATCAATGAATCTGTCCACACAGCTGGCTAGACAGCCTTCTGTTCTGGAGTCCAACTTTGAGCCAGGTTTGTCCACACATTTGTCCCAGCAAACTTCCATGAAATTATGAACCTGGATGTGAACAGGAAACATGTTAGTTAATACTATTTAATCAAATATTTTACAGATGGGGAAGCTAAAATATGAGAGGGGTACAACAATCACTTGTCTAGGAGTCCTGCCAGAAAACCATCCTTTCCCCCTCTGCCTTATGCTCAAAGGGACCATCACCCTCAGAACTGAGAATTCAGTCACTGTGGCCAATTCAGTGCTTGGTCTTTCTGCTGACATGGCACAAAGGGGTCCATTAATGCTGAAGACAATGTGATTTCTGTGCTCCATGCAGCTACTCATTAGGAACGGGACCAAGTCGCTTTCTCACATTACCCAGCTCGCCCACCATCTCCCCAAACCAGCGTCAGGGGATATGCGCAGGGGGCTGCCTTGCTCTCTCTGGGAGGGTTACAAGCCGGGCTTAATTTGTAAGAAAAGAGTCGCTGCGGCTCAAGCAATTTCTTTGCACCCTGACTGATGGAGCAAGCCCAGGGGCGCCAGGGCTATCAGCTGCCAGCGCGCAGCAGTGGTGACAAGCGTCGAGGGGGAGGAGGAGGAGGAGGAATCCCTTGGGGGCGGGCGGCAATAGGGGCCCCAGGGACTGACGGTCTGGACCCCGTCGGGGCTGATGTGGGGGGAGCTCCATGAAGAGCGTGCCGGGGGGAGGGGAGCAGGGCCGGGGCGGGACGCAGGGGGCCTGGCTGCCCGTCGCGGGCCCGGGAGGGAACCTAGGGGCCCCGGGGGGCAGGTACCTGGGCGGTGAACTGCGCCCGCTGCTGCTCAGCGGCCACCAGCCGCTGCAGCTCGGAGACCGCGGGGTCCCGGCCCCCGTCCAGGCCGCCCAGCTCCGCCATGGGGAAGGCGACTCCGGCCGCTGTGACCTTCCCCGGCGGAACCGGAAGGAAGGGGGCGGTTCCTCGCGCCGCGGGGCCAACCCGACTCCAGCAGCTCGACCCCGCGTCTGTTTCCGCTTCCGGGTGCCCTGGTGCCCTTGGAGCTGTGGGGGCGGCCGGGGTCAGGGGCAGACGGCAAGATGGCGGCGCTGCTCGTGCGGGGGGGCCTGTGGCGGCCCCGAGGCGGGTCGCTGGGTGAGTGCCGGGGGCGCGGGACATGGGGAGCGGGGGAGGCTCAGCCCGGCCCCTCCACGGAGCTGCCCTGGGCCAGGGCTGCGGGGGGGTCTGTTCCCCGCCCTGGGGCCTTGGCAAGGGTGACGCGGCACAGCGACAGTGACGACCCCCTTTGCGGCGCGGGGCGGGGCCGGGGGCCAGAAACCCGCCTGCCTGGGCCTGGGCGGGTCTGTCACCCCTCGCGGTCTGGGAGCCTCCCCCGTGGCCCCCAGCTTCTGCCTCCCCACTAAATCCCGTGACTAGCGCTGGTCATAGAATCACAGACTATCAGGGCTGGAAGGGACCTTAGGAGGTCATCTAGTCCCACCCCCTGCACAAAGCAGGACCAATCCCCAATTTTTGCCCTGATCCCTAGATGGATTGAACTCCAATTTCCACAACCCTGGGTTTAGCAGGCCAATGCTCAAACCACTGAGCTATTCCTCCCTCCCCCATTGCAGGCTGTGCTTTGGGGGGGTGTTGGGCTGTTGTTTTCCCCCACGGCTGTTTATATTGCTTGTTACCCCCCCAAGGCTTTACGTTTGATTGGAGCCTCTTGTGCTGGGTGCTGTACAAACGCAGAGCCAGAGATGCTCCCTGCCCCAGAGAGTTTACAGTAGGGATCTCAACTCACCACAAGGGCCAACGAGGACTAGTACATTGGCCCGAGGGCCGCATTACTGACACCTTTTCATAAAAAGGTACAAAAGCCCTGCCCCCCACCCCCACTCCACCCCTTCCATGGGGCCCTGCCTCTGCCCTGCCTCTTCCCACTCCTTCCCCAAAGTCCCCACCCCAACTCCACCCCCTCCCTGCCCCTATTCCAACCCCTTCCCCAGATCCCCGGCCCTGCCTCTTCTCCTCCTCCTCCTCCCCTGAGCGGTGCTCCCCGCTCCTCCCCCGTCCCAACAGCTGTTTGGCAGTGGGAAGCGCCTGGAGGTAAGTAGAAGAGCGGTGGTGCGGCACGCTGTGTGGGAGGGCGGGCAGCGGGTGAGGAGAGCTTGGCAGCAGCAGGAAATAATTCCAGGGGGCATGGGGAGCTTGGCAGGCCGCAGGAAATAACCCCTCAGGCCAAGTGTTTGAGACCCCCGGTTCACAGTTTCTAAACCAGTGGGTTCTCAGCCTGGGGTACGCAGAGGTCTTCCAGGGGGTACATCAACTGCTCTAGATATTTGCCTAGTTTTACAACAGGCTACATAAAAAGCACAAGCAAAGTCAGTACAAACTAAAATTTCATACAGATACTGACTTGGTTACACTGCTCTATATACTGTACACTGAAATGTAAGTACAATATTTATATTCCAATTGATTTATTTGATAATTATATGGTAAAAATGAGAACATAAGCAATTTATCAGTACTAGTGTGCTGTGACACTTTTGTATTTTTATGTCTGATTTTGGAAGCAAGTAGTTTTTAAGTGAGGGGAAACTTGGGAGTACACAAGACAAATGAGACTCCAGAAAGGTATACAGTAGTCTGGAAAGGTTGAGAGCAACTGCTCTAAGCTATCTGTTAGTTCTCCCTCTGTCAGTTGTAATTGTACAGCACTCCACCTGCCTGTGTGAGCTTTAGCGAGGCAGTAAAATAAAGCTCATTTGAGGTCCCTTTGTGAAAGGCATAGTGCTATTACTACTTAACTATAGATGTGCAGAATATTATATTATGTGTCTGCTATGTCAAGCCATTGAATGAATCAATGCCACAAAGATCTGGTAGCTTAAAGGTGCAAACAAGCATCAGAAAGAACACAACAGACCTACTAGCAGTTCAGATCTTTGAAAATACAATAGTTATCCATAACAGCTTAGTATTGAGCAGGTCTTTTCTAATGTAGCCTGTTTAGGTCATGAAATAAAGGCAAGATTTCCCTAATGCTCACAACATAGCTGCAAAGTTTGTCATGCCAGAGTTGGTGGCTGACGTTCTTGTCTCAGATTCCTAGAAGCACTGTTTTGGGTGCAGCTTGTCTCACTTTTGCAGGCATGGGGCTTTGGATTTTAAATCCTTGGTATGGAAACTCTAAAGCATATGTGTACACCAGGCTTGTTAGAAATATTGCAAATAACACATTCCCCCTCTCCCCCATGGTCTTGTTTGTGGGGTATAATTTGTATTCCCTATTCTAACTTTGTGCATCTTTTTTTCTGAAGAAACCACTGGCTTCCTTTTTCAGGCGGCCCTCTGGACTCTTATTGCTTATTGATTAAGATGTTGGTTGCTGTAGTTTAACTTGCAGGGATTTACCTTTGAGTTTTTGGGGTATAAAAGGCAACTAATCAATCTTTATTCCGTTGACAGTTCTTCTAAGTAAAAGTCTGTTGACCAGACCTGTGCTTGCCTGTACAACAGTCTTGGATCGGCCAACTCTGGCACATCAAATCCACATCACTCCCAGAAGCTATGGTATGTCAGTCTAAGATGGGACAAAAGTTCAGTTGATAACCACTTGGGAAGCTGCTGTTCTTTATCTATATTTTTGTTTTTATGTGATATTTGATCCTGACCTTTTCAGCCAGCTCAATCACCCTAGTCATTACAGTGTTTTCTTGGCCCCGTGGAGTGATTTGTATAGTCGCAGATAAGAAGTTGCCTTATCTACTCACTGCACCTCAATCTGAACAAGCTTTTGATTTAAAATCAATTGACATAATTTAAATTAGGAGTTGGAGAAGTAAACATCTACAGTATAATTCAATGCTACAAAAATTTCCAAATTGCTGTGAGGTTTTTCCTTCCTATTTTGAAGGGCATGGAAATTGGTATTGCCTGAAAATTCAGGCAGTCATCTCTGTGAACAGGAAATTGTGCTGTAATGGTTTATTAGATCTCACTTTGCACTTCATGTTTTCTGCTGAAAACTTCATGATTCTTTCTGTCAGCCTAAAACTAACTTCTCAGTAATCTCACATGCAATGTCATTTTATTACAGTTTGCAGGAAAAGTGGAATTCTAAATCCAGCTTTTTCTTCCCCTTAGCATCTTTCTTAAATGGTAGAAATTGACTGAGTTTCAAACAAACATTCTCAGTTTACTAACAAAGATGTTAGTTTTATCCAGTCAATTTCCACAGACCTCCACAAGATAGGAAAAGGGAAGCTAGATTAAAGAATGGGTGATCCTTTTTATGGCCCTCCCATAGATTGATGGTGATTGTTGTAAGCTTGGTGCAGAAATTGTGGCTCCTCTGTTGGACAGGAGCTTCTGGTCCATCTGAGGTCAGGCTATAAAGACTGGATTGGAGGCAAGATTCATTGCTGGACAAAATTTCCTTTCTCCACGTACCAAGAATCAGTGGAGAGTGGTGTAAGATAAACAGGCAAAGACAAAAATCCAGGACTGTCATAATGTATGCCATTAAACCTGAGAAATACTATGACCAGGGATTAATTAGGATTTTATATCCTTTAAACCCAAACTTTTCCTGTCACGCCCCTCTGACCCCCGCACCAGTAATGGAATCTGCCTGCGCCGCCCCTTCCATTACTGCACAGTTGGTTCAGCAGAGGAGCGTGGGCTGAAGGCAGAGCTGGGGGTAGAACTGGGGATGGGGGAGGAGCTGGGGCTAGAGGTGGAGCTGGCCTTGGGGGGGAGAGGGTGTGAGGGCAGAGCTGGGCTGGGGCCAAAGCGGAGCCGTGGCCGTTGCTGTGGCTGGAGCTGGCCTGGTGGCAGAGAGGGAATGAGGGCAGAGCTAGGCTAGGGGCGGAGTAAGGGGCAGAGTGGAGCTGGAAATAGAAAGAAGTGGCAGAAAATAGAAAGAAGAATGCAGACACAAACCAAACAAACCGATAAAAAGTGACAGCCACGCTTCCCCCACTCCTTTTCCCCTACAAGTTTTCTACTTTCTCAAGCTATGGAAAATACTCACACTGTGTTAACAGTTCTTTCCACAGACCATGTCTACTTGAAACAACGTGGCCTTGGACAGTCTCAATATGTAAACAAGTCCAACTCAAAAAAAGTTTGCTACATTTATGTCAAGAAGAAACTTGTTGCACATTGGAAAGTATTTCTCAAAGTTCATGGTAGTAGCACGTTAGTCTACTACAGTTGTTTTGCTGGTGATCTTTTTGTTCCATTGTCACAGCAGTTCTTCTCTAATATCGGTCACCCTGTGCAGAGCAGGAGAAATTTCATGTCTTCTTTTTGGTACAGTTCACATTAAATCTCTTTTCCAGCTCATGATTTCAGGTTGATCAAAAAGCAGTAAGAATTTAGACAAGTGATCTGATGTGTGTTTAAAACCAGTTCTTTGTAACTTTATGCTGTTAGCTCTCGCCTATTAAATGCCCGTGTATTGTAAGGTGTCCTGCTTCCCTCAGTATATGTCAACATCTCTTAGAACCATATTTCTTCTAGTGGTGTCCAAAATGTGTAGGAAAAGTAGGCAAGGTACAAAGACCCCAAACTACCACTTCTGTGCTTGTCTGAGTCACCTTGTGTGCAAACAGAACTGTGTTCTGGTAGTTGTCTATGGAAGAGGATTGAGATCATGTGGCCTCTTAGGCTACTTCTAGGCACTGAATACCTGGGGGTTCCAGCCCCTACTCTTGTTAAGATAACAGCAATCCTAATTCATGCACTCAGCTCTTCATGAACTTATCACAGATGTATCAGATACTTAACAGATACAGCACACTCCATACATAGGTCTTAAAACATTTCCCAAGAAAGGGGAGGAGTTTCAATATTATTATCCCATATCACAGGTAGAAAACTAAGGCACAGAGAAGGGAGGTGGCTTGCCTTGGATCACACCATTGATGGGAGAACTAGAAATAGAACCAATGCATCTTGGTGCCCAGTGT